TAAGAAAGAGTGCACGGTCACATGCATGCCCACACATTATGAGAGAGTGTAAAATTGTGTAACAAAACAATGCCCTTCACAAGTAAGGATTCAACGCCATGTGCGAACTCAGTCTGTGGTTGGATTCACAGAACATTTTGTAGCCCAACCAGTCAACGCACCTTCTGAGTTACCATAGGGGGTGCATGAGGGTGCAAAACGGTCTTGCCTGTGTCTGTGTTCAGACAACCTGGTTAAGGAATCCACTCATGTTTGGCTTTGTGTGTATTTAGAATCGTGCATTGGCTGAGTTTACACAGCATGCTAGCCATGCACACACACCCAGGAGACCATGATGAACTCTAGTGAGCTCCCAAGCTGTATAAATGCCTAGCACCAGGTATGCAACTCATTGCTTGAGCGAGTTGTGAGAAGCCAAGGAGGAAGGTGGGGGTGGTTTACCCCCCTGTCTTTGTTGCCCTGAGAAAGGGGCCTGCTCTTTGGAGAATCCCTTCTCCCTTGTAGGACCAGTTTGTACCTCCTGCATGATCTACCTTTGCTTGCAGGTGAGGGATGCAGGAAGACCTTCGCCTTCCCCTGGGCAGCTGCTGGGAAGTGTGGAGAGCCTTCAAACCTTTGAGGTTGAAGAGCAAGCCTCTTCTTCCTACTGGGGAGAGGATGCCCTGGGACCAGGGAAGAGAATTGTGGGGGCAGGGGGGAATGAACTGCCTCCTTGCAGGGCTAACTCCATGCCCCTTGCTTGGGCTCCTCTTCAGAAGCTGGAGGAAACCCACTCATTTCTTCTCTTTTCATGACCAAACGTTGCCTGGCACTCCGTGCATCTGGGAAATAAATCCAGCCTCCACATTGCTTCCGGATCGTTGTCTGAAGGAGAAGAAGAAAACCCCAGCATCAGATATGCAAATAGAAGAAGGAAGTGGTGAGGATAAGATTATTGGATTGTGAGATTGTTGATCTTGGACCAGCTCAGAGTCTTCCCAGGGCAGGCAAACCTCTGACGCTTGCGCAGGATGCGCTTGTGCAGATCCGGGCACAACCGAACTCTTAGCCAGCTGGTGGTGCGCTGCATGGAAAGGAAGCAGTGTCGTATCTGTGGTGGGGCCTGCTTGAACACTTTGTCCCGGAGTGAGCCGGGCACATGTACATGCGTGTCGTAAAAAAACAAAACCCCCCAGAGAATGTGGAGGAAGATGTTTCCTAAGGACCTCTTAAATGTGGGAAATTCCTCCCCGCTCCTTTGGCTGAGATCTGTTCTAGCGTGGAGACCTGCCAAGCATTTTGGAAAGGGGTCTCCCCGATCTGCTCTAGCCCCATGTGTCTGAAGGGGGCCCACCTGTGGAGGGCTGCGGTGAAGGAAGAGAAGCCCAGGAATTAGGAGGCTATGGGGATGTTTTCTCATTCCTGTTGAGCTGACTTTGCCCTTCATATCGACCCCAGAACTTACAAAGAACAGGGGGTGAGGTCTGCCCAACAGGTTACTGAGTCTTCCCTGCCTCTGATTAAAGAAAACTCAGGAGAAGGTTTGGAGTAAAAAGAAAAACAGCTCTTTATTTGGCCAAACAAAGCAACCGGGTGGACCACTCCTCGGAGACAACAGGTCTTGGTGTTGGCAAAGGTGGCAACAGCAGTATTTATACTGCTAGCAGACCATAGCGGCAACCGTTATGCAAATTGGGTGTCAATCATTTTTGCCTGTGAATCCCAGACATCCTGTATGTGTCTGTCATGCCTTAAGCCAGTGTTGTCCAAACTTGGCCACTTTAAGATGAGTGGACTTCAACTCCCAGAA